ATGTTTTATTTATTTCCAGGAGAGAGAGACAGCGTGAGCAGGGGAGGGTCAGAGAGAGAGGGAGTCACAGACTGAAACAGGCTCCAGGCTCTGAGCTGGCAGTCAGCACAGAGCCCGACGCGGGGCCCGAACCCACGAACCGCGAGATCATGACCTAAGCGAAAGTCAGACGCTTAACCGACTAAGCCACCCAGGCGCCCCTACTCTTTTCTTTTTGATAAGTCTGGGTAGGGGTTTACCAATTTTGCTAATTCTTTCAAAGAATCAGCTCTTAGTTTCACTGATCTGTTCTGTTTTTGTTTGTTTGTTTGTGTGTCACTTATTTATGCTCTAATCTTTATTATTTCCCTTCTTCTGCTGCTTTCAGCTTTATTTGCCATTCCTTTTTTAGCTTTAGGTGTAAGATTAGGTTGTATATTTGGGAACTTTCTGGCTTCTTGAGATAGGCCTGAACTGCAATATACTTCCCTCTTAGGACTGCCTTTGCTACATCCCAAAAGTTTTGGACTGTTGTGTTTTTTTTTTCATTTGCTTCCATGTATTTTTAAAATTTCTTCTTTAATTTCTTGATCAACCCAACCCATTCATTCTTTAGTGGGATGTTCTTTAACCTCCATGTTTTTGAGGGCTTCCCAAATTTTTTCTTGTGGTTGACTTTGAGATTCATAGCATTGCGATCTAAAAATACGGATGGTATGATTTCCATCTTTTTGTACTTGTTGAGGGCTGATTTGTGACCCAGAGTGTGATCTGTTCTAGAGAATGTTCCGTGTGTACTTGAAAAGAATGTATATTCTGCTGTTTTAGGATGAAATGTTCTGAATATGTTTGTTAAGTCCATCTTGTCCGAAGTGTCATTCAAGGCCACTGTTTCCTTATTGAGTTTCTGCTTAGGTGATCTGTCCACTGCTGTGAGCGGGGTATTAAAGTCTCCTACTATTATTGTATTAATATTAATGGGTTTCTTTTTTTTAAGCTTTATTTATTTATTTATTTTAAGAGAAAGCAGTGGAGGGGCAGAGAGAGAATCCCAAGCAGGCTCCACATTGGCAGCACAGAGCCTGATGTGGGGCTCAAACTCACAGTTTGTGAGATTATGACCTGAGCCAAAACCAAGTTGGATGCTTAAGCAACTGAGCCACACAGGCACCGCATCAATGAGTTTATGTTTATTATTAATTGACCTATATATTTGAGTTGTACCAAGTTGGGGGCATAAATATTTGCAATTGTTAAATCTTTTTTTTTTTTTTAAATTTTTTTTTAATGTTTTTTTAATTTATTTCTAGGAGAGAGAGAGAGAGAGACAGCGTGAGCAGGGGAGGGTCAGAGAGAGAGGGAGTCACAGACTCTGAAATAGGCTCCAGGCTCTGAGCTGGCAGTCAGCAGAGAGCCCGACGCGGGGCTTGAACCCATGAACCGCGAGATCATGACCTAAGCGAAAGTCGGACGCTTAACCGACTAAGCCACCCAGGCGCCCCTGCAATTGTTAAATCTTGATGGAGCCCTTAATTATGATACAATGTCCTTCTTTATCTCTTGTTACAGCCTTTGTTTTAAAATCTAGTTTGTCTGGTATAAGTATGGCTACTCTGGCTTTCTTTTGACATCATTAGCATGATAGACGGTTCTCCATCCCCTCACTTTCATCTGCTGATGTCGTTAGATCGAAAGTCAGTCTCTTGTAGGTAGTATATAAATGGATCGTTTTTTTAAAAAAAATCCATTTTGATACCCTATCTTTTGATTGAAGCATTTAGTCCATTTACATTCAGAGTGATTATTGAAAGAATTTA